CAAGTAGTTCATTTTCCAGGGGTTCTCAACCTGCTGGCTGAGGAATTCTGGGAGTTGAAGTCCACAAGTCTTAAAGTTGCCAAGGTTGAGAACCCCTGAAATACGGATGGATCTTCTTTCTGTCTCATATTCTGTAGACAGCGGTGGTGCTGATTTTTATGCATTAATTAATATTACCAAAATTTACTAATGTCCATAGTGAAATATTCCAGTTAAAAAGCAAAGAAAAAACTTAAAAGTTCACAAAACAGTTTTTTCCCCAAAGCAGCAAGTAATATGCTGATTGTGTATAAATCTTTCAATAATACTAATGAGCATGCCCTTTATGTGATATTTCAGTTCACTTATAACTTTATAAATATTTCAACTTTAGATTATTGAGTAAATTGATCTTGATAAATTAGCAATGCAATCAGGGGGTGTTTTTTAAGAAAAGGTGCAGCATCAAGAAGTCAAATTATAATAACCATTATAGTATGATACATATTTCATAAATGAGTCACTAACAAATATAGTAGAGGAGAAAGAATAACTGAACTTTTTGAATAAAATTCACAATGCTTACTCTAATAAACTATTAATTATATAGCAATGTGTGTATATATATATATATATATATATATATATATATATATATATATATATATATATATATATATATATATATATATATATATATATATATAGTAATAGTAGTAAAGTTGGAAGGGACCTTGGAGGTCATCCAGTCCAACCCCCTGCTCAGGCAGGAAACCCTTCACCATTTCGGACAAATGGCTGTCCAGTCTCTTCTTAAAAACTTCCAGGGTTGGAGTATTTACTGCTTCTGGAGGCAGGCTGTTCCACTGATTAATTGTTCTCACTGTCAGGAAGTTTCTCCTTAGTTCTAGGTTGCTTCTCTCCTTGATTAGTTTCCACCCGTTGCTTCTTGTCCTGCCTTCAGGTGCTTTGGAAAATAGCTTAAGTCCCTCTTCTTTATGGCAGCCCCTGAGATATTGGAATATTGCTATCATGTCCCCCCTTGTCCTTCTCTTCGTTAAACTAGACATACCCAATTCTAGCAACCGTTCCTTATATGTGTGTGTGTGTGTATATATGTGTGTGTGTGTGTGTGTGTGTGTGTGTGTACACACACACACAGAGCAGAGAACCATGGTGGCTCAGTGGTTAGAATGCAGTATATAGCAATGTGTGTAAGTATGTTTGTGTGTATGCACATATGCACATATGCACATATACAGAGAGAGAGAGAGAGAGAGAACCATGGTGGCTCAGTGGTTAGAATGCAGTATTGCAAGTTAATTATACCGATTGCCAGCAGTCCGAGTTTCACCAGTTCAAGATTGACTCAACCTTCCATTCTTCCGAGGTCAAATGAGGACCCAAATTGTTGGGGACAATATGCTAACTCTGTAAAACGCTTAGAAAGGGCTGTAAAGCACTGAGAAGAGGTATATAAGTCTAAGTGCTATTGCTAGAGCAAAGGTTAGAAAAATAATTATATTTGTTGCATATTTTTTCATGTTGCACCAAAATGGATCCAAATTTTAAACACTTATCAAAATAGCCTTCTATATTACAGGTTGATATTAGTCTATAAGAAAACAACTGTCTTAATATTTGAAAAAATACACCCTCAAATCAGGTTTCAATATTTTGTATGTTCTATTAATATTTCAGTGCTTATTCTTATTCCCATTGAAGGACATTATGGCGAGAAATAAGCAGTCCAAATCATTAGCTTCTGTAATAGTTGTAATGACTGTAATAATGTAATTAGTCAAAAACATATTACATATTCTGTGAACACAGAAGTACTATGACCATCTAAAAGGCAATAAAATAGATTATGATACTATCTACTGCATGTTTCATTAATCCAAACCACTTTGCTTTCTTAGCAGGTTTTAGGGTCAGCCCTATTATCTTAAAGCGGGTATAGGATGCTTTTATTCAGTTTAAATAAAAAATATCTAAAAGTATTGTCATTTGCATTCTTATATATTAAGGATTGTTCCACATACTATGAAGAAAAAATTATTAATTTGAATACCATTTTGCTATGAATGTATATATATATATATATATATATATAGGTCTTTGGTTGTTCGGGTTTTCTCCCGCATAAAATTGGAAGTGTCTTGGCGACGTTTCGACGAAGTCTCATTCATCATCTTCAGGCTGGTGTTTTCAGCTTCGTGCTTCTAGGAGCAATGTATGCACGGCCACAAACCAAAAGCCAGACCACAGCTGCATCATTAGCCACTTTAAACCCCTCCAATCCATACATGAAGCAAACTGACACCCTCCATGAAGAGGAGGCACGACCACGAACGCGAAGCCAAAAAATAGCAAGGCAGCCCAAAATCTTAAACCCCTCTGCAACTCAGACTAACCTGAGCACAACCAAACAGAACACTCCCCCAGCCAATCAGAGCACACCCAAGCCCCTAACCATTCAGAACACACCTCCACCCAATCAGAACACAGCCAAGCTCCCACCCAATCAGTTCATACCCCCACTGGCAGTTAAAAGGAAGAAACAGCTAAGACTAGACATTGCTGCTCAAAGCACGAAGCTGAAAACACCAGCCTGAAGATGATGAATGGGACTTCGTCGAAACGTCGCCAAGACACTTCCAATTTTACGCGGGAGAAAACCCGAACAACCAAAGACCTACATACAAATACCCGCGAAAACCTCAAAAAACAAATATATATATATATATATATATATATATAATATATATAATATATATATATATATATATATATATATATATATATATATATTCATTCTGAGGTTTTTGCAGGTGTTTGTATGTAGGTCTTTGGTTATTCGGGTTTTCTCCCACGTCAAATTGGAAGTGTCTTGGCGACGTTTCGACGAAGTCTCATTCATCATCTTCAGGCTGGTGTTTTCAGCTTCGTGCTTCTAGGAGCAATGTGTGATCATAGCTGTTTCTTCCTTTTAACTGCCAGTGGGGGTATGAACTGATTGGATGAGAACTTGGCTGTGTTCTGATTGGATGGAGGTGTGTTCTGATTGATTGGGAGCTTGGCTGTGCTCTGATTGGATGGGGGGTTGGCTGTGCTCTGATTGGTTGGGGGAGTGTTCTGTTTGGGTGGGGGCTTTGTTGTGCTCAGGTTAGTCTGAGTTGCAGGGGAAGGTGAGATGGTGAGCTGCATTGCTATTGTTTGGCTTCGCATTCGTGGTCATGCCTCATCTTCTGGTGGGTGTTAGTTTGCTTCATGTATGGATTGGAGGGGTTTAAAGTGGCTAATGATGCAGCTGTGGTCTGGCTTCTGGTTTGTGGTTTTGCCTCATCATCTGTGTGGGTTTGGGTTTGCTTTTTGCGTGGACGTGTGGTGGTGACATCCTGTGTGGCTTTTGTGAGTGTGGGTCTGGTGTCATTCTTTGTGTTAGGGACTCGTTTGTCAATAAGGAAAGGTTTCCAAATGGCTGGTAGGCGGGAGGTGTCATCTCGTTTGTTCATGCTGTGTGGGTGTTTTTCTATCTTAATGGCTTCTCTGATTATTCTGTTATTAAAGTGTTCAGTTTTGGCGATAGTTCTGGTCTTTTTAAAGTCAATTTCATGTCCTATGATTTTAAGGTGTTGGACCAGGGAAGAAGTTGGTTCCTCTTTTTTGACTGAGTTCTTATGTTCTTCAATGCATGCACTTATTCTTCTGTTGGTTTGTCCGATGTATGTGGTGGGACAAGCGGTGCATGGGATTTCATATACTCCTTGATTTTCTAAAAAGCCAAACAATAGCAATGCAGCTCACCATCTCACACTCCCCTGCAACTCAGACTAACCTGAGCACAACACAGCCCCCACCCAAACAGAACACTCCCCCATCCAATCAGAGCACATCCAAGCTCCCAACCAATCAGAACACACCTCCATCCAATAAGAACATAGCCAAACTCTCATCCAATCAGTTCATACCCCCACTGGCAGTTAAACGGAAGAAACAGCTACGATCACACATTCCTCCTAGAAGCACGAAGCCAAAAACACCAGCCTGAAGATGACGAATGAGACTTCATCGAAACGTCGCCAAGACACTTCCAATGTGATGCGGGAGAAAACCCGAATAACCAAAGACCTATATATATATATATTACGGACATTATCATATATATATGAAGAGTTATATCTTTGTCACCTTAACCCCTCAATTACATCTACCGTTTGAGGCTAATACTGAGTTACTGTTTAACCTGATTGTAAGAATTGAGATAGTGCAAGTGAGATTTTGTAAGTGATTTTTCTACATGTGTCATGTATCCTATTTTACGTACTCCAAAAGAACTCATTTTCAGACCTATGGAGCCATAGTGACCCATGTTAAAACTGATATTTCCAGAGGGAAGAAAATAATAAGCTAGACTTTAAAGTGCTGAAATGTATGGTTTCTTTAAAAAAAAATCAAGAATCAGCAGAACATTCAAACAGAACTCATTATTTGATTAAATCTATATATAATGTAGGAGAAGAAAGAAAATACAGGGAATAGAAAGATTGTGCAGGTTATAGAAGAGAGCTGGTACCAAATAAAAAGAGAAGTCAGGAAGACATACATGCTGCCTAATTGGGGCCATGCAGCATTTTTTAATTTTGGCAATTTTCAGATGTGTGGACTTCAGCTTCCAGAATTTTCAGCATAGCCAAGAATTACAATTTGTCTTTAGATAACAGCACAGTTACCTAGCTAATGATGTGATTTATCTGTACTACAATGTAGTAGAATTAAAGCCTGTTCTTATCACATTTAAATAACATCTGGGTTAATACTGTCACCCCATCATTCGCCTTGGTGTTGGTTTTATGCTTATTTTCTGTAAACCTCTGGGATTTACCAAGTTAATTAGTTGCTAAATAAATAAGTAAACAAATAAACATATGGTTAATTCCAGCTACTTCAAAAATATTTGGTGAAGTGCAATTTACATTACATTTTTTATGATAAGGATCAATATTTTTTTATTACAGTGCAAACTAGATTATCAAGCCTGTGCCTCAGGAAAACATATCTCAGCTAAATGTGAAGGACGCTGTCCTTGCCTTTCAGAAAAGTCCACAAGTGCAGGCAGAAGTGATAAGAGAGGTAAGTTTTGATGTTTATGTTAGATCTCTCAGTTACTTCATCAAATGGTATGTCTTCAAATAAAAAAAATTGAGAAGTAATTAATGAGCTATTTCAACAGCTAAATGACTCTTCACTTTAAAGCCTAGCTTATAAAGATAAATAGAATTGCTTATTTGAAATTCTACTTGTTCTAAGTGTTTAGAGAACACCAAGAGATTTTAGGACTATAGGCTACACTAGGTAGTTAAAAAGGATCTCTGAAGAAGGCAGTAGCCTTCTGTATTTCTGACAAAAAAAAATAACATGAGCGTTGCCATGTTTAACACCCAGACTTGGAAGTAAATCCTAGATCTCTAGGCACTTAACTCAGACTTAGCAGAAAATTCCCATACACCATTAGCTAATTTAAAGTCTTTATTGCAGACAAGCCTTAACAAGTTATTGGATTACTCACTGCAGAATATTTGTGTTCCAGCATATAAAATTCTGGCTTCTTCTTTCTGCCTTTCTAACTGATGGATACTTGGCCAGTTTGCCTGGTACCATTGGTGGCTGAGCTATCCAGATACCAGTTGTCTCTTAGCCTGGTTTGTTCAGTGCTAGTTTAAATCATTACTGATATATCCATAAACCACATTAGATGTAAAATAGTCTTTACTTATATCTATATCTGAAAGCAATATAGAATCAAGGGGTTTGTTGGCATATTTTTAATAATTATATACCATTTTGCTAACTGTTTTGGAAAAAAAGCTGTTATCAATAAATATATTAACATTTGACATTCCTTTTTAATAATAATCTTATTAAAGTTTACAAATACAAATAAAAACTAATTCAGACTAACAAAAATATTAAAAAGTAAAGAAACACAAAAATGCAAAGACTAAATATATATATATATATATATATATTAAAAAGGTACATAAAAAATGACATTCCGCTCCTTCCAGCTTCACACATGCTCGAGTATTTTAATGATAATAATAATAAAAAAAACTGTGGTTCCTCTGATATGTTATGGCTTTTCTGTTGCTTCTTGGCAACAGAATATGTGATGTTGCAAATTCATTTTCATATGGAGAAAGCTTGGGGCTGCATGATGTTAATATAGGCTCACTGACATAAGCATGATAAGTTTTATCATCTCTTCTGTATTTATCATGGCTCTTTTGTGGAGGCAAAATTGTCCCAGAACTGCTTATGGACCTTCATACGTTTTTCTCCTTTCTAAGCTTTGCTGTCTCTTATGATAGCAGAATGGTACATGTCTTTGTTAGTTCTGACAACATGACTTTAATTTAATCCAGCTTTCAGTAGTCACAGTATGGGAATTGGGCCAAATCGATATTTAAAGGTTCCTATGCAAATTTTCATTATTCAAAAAAGGAGATGCAATCAATCAATCAATCAATCAATCAATCAATCAGAACTGAGCTGGAAGGGACCTTGGAGGTCTTCTGATCAAGCAGGAGACTATACCATTTCAGTCAAGTGGCTGTCCAGTCTCTTCTTAAAAACCTCGAGTGATGAAGCACCCACAACGTCTAAAGGCAAGCTGTTCCACTGGTTAATTGTCCTCACTGTTAGGAAGTTTCTCCTTAATTCCAGGTTGCTTCTCTCCTTGATTAGTTTCCATCCATTGTTTCTTATCTTGCCTTCTGGCGCTTTGGAAAATAAATTGACCCCTTCCTCCTTGTGGCAGCCTCTGAAATACTGGAATACTGCTATCATGTCACCTCTAATCTTTCTTTTCTCTAGAACTGGCCAAACCAAATTCATGCAACCGTTCTTCATCTTTTAGTCTCCAGGCCCTTAATCATCTTAGTTGCTCTTCTTTGCACTTTTTCCAATCTACATTTACATCTTTTTTGTAATGTGGTGGCCAAAACTGGATGCAGTATTCCAGATGTGGCCTTACTAAGGTTTTATAAAGCGGTATTAATACTTCACATGATTTTGATTGTATGCCTATTTTCTCTGAGCCATACTCTTTTTGTGTGTGTGGCTTCCTAGCTTTGTGCCGTGTTCTAATTCATTTCACAAGGTATCACAAGTATTAGATCAGTGATGAAATTTCCACGCTCACCTCTCCAGGAAGAAGCAAAGCTTGCTAAACTGCTTTGGCAACTTTCTAGGTATCACAGGAAAACTCAGCAGTTTTAAGATTACAAAGCTGCAGTATTATATAAGGCTAAGTCAGTGTTAATTCCCCTGAATTCTGCACATAATAGCTTAAATTTTGCCAATGGTTTCTACTTAACTTCCCACCTTATCAAAGCTAGTGATAAGGGGAGATACTTCTAAACAGAGCAAACACACTAGTTATTTCCCTGGCACCAAGGAATCAGAGGAAACTCTTCGTAGCAAGTCAGTAGATACTTTTTGGCATGGTATCAAGACTAATTATTCACCCCTGCAAATTAGTAGATACATTTTGGCATCATGCCAAGAGTGATTATGTAGGAGACCCTATGGAAAAATAAGAGCTGACTTTGATAGCTCTTTGGAAATTTTATTCAAAAGGTTGAATAGGTTGCTTCCTCAACTGGTTTAATACAACTAAGGCTCTTTGCTATACAATTTAGAGTTTCTGTACTGTTCTTTGTCCTTGCTATCTTTAAAAAATACGTATTTCAAGAACTGGTTGTGGTAAAACTTGTACCATGATATCAAAGAATCTATTTTGTCTTCTAGTTTCATCCAACCCTGCGATTAAAAACAAATAGAAAAGTTGTAGAAATATTTTGTTTCCCACATAGCTTACAGCAGAATTCTTCAAATTTTGTGCTGCCTCACCTTGCAAAATGATAACTGAATTTGTACAAACCCCACATCAATAAAATAAAACAATAACTAAATAAATGTGTGTTTCCCCGAAAGCAAGACCTACCCCCAAAATAAGCCTTAGCTTGATTTTTGGGGGTGGGCCTAATATAAGACCCCCAAAATAAGCCCTAGTTTTGGGGCAAGGTGCACACCTAAAATCAAGCTAGGGTGGGGGTGGAGCTGCCCCACGTGCCCGCACCCGCTTACCATTGCAGCCAGGCCTCCTGTGATGACCCAGGGTACAGCACAGAGGCAATGCAGTCAGCTGGCAATTCAAACCGCCCTTTAATTGCTCCAAATTTTCCCCAAATGCTCCCATGTTTCTGGCAAGCCCCCAAACAATGGAACACACACACATCTCTGACTGCAAGTAGTTTCATATACAGTCTGATGAGGAGAGGATTTTACTCAAGGCCATGGAGATAAGAAAGAATGACACATACATCATAAACCTAATGAGTCTGTGTGAATACACACTTGCCTGAACAGTTTCAGAAGGGAAACCAAAATACAGGCCAAGTTCTTTAAACATCCAAGTAACGTTGTCAGCCAGTCCAACCGTCAGAGTTTCCGGGTTTCCAAGCAGAAGTCACAGAACAAGAGATCAGCAACAACACACACAAAATTCCAAGGAATCAGCGTTTGTTCCTGACAAATGCCTCTCCCCACAGCATCGCATTCTCCAGGTGTGCCGTGTGGAGAGGGGCGGGATGCTCTCCTCCCAAGTAGTTGAGCCTGCCTGTGTTGTTCCCTCCTTCTCTCCACTCTCTGTGCTCTAGGATCAGGTGGGGGTGGTCCTTACTCATCGCCTGAACTCTGCCTCTCCTGTTCAGCCTGTCCCACTCCTGAAGGACCCTGGCCTGCCTCTGCCTGCTCTTCCCCACCTTCCTCTGAAGCCACAGACACGTCTCCCTTGACCTCCATAGGGTCCTGTTCCAGCTCATTTTCCTCTGCAGATTCAGGTTCCAATAGAGGCATGACACCTCCCACCTGCCTTTTCTTGCCAGCTCACATCTTCTGCGCTGCCCTCCAGCCTGCATTTTGCCATCAGAGGTCTTCCAGAAGGCCTCTGTAGCTGAGAATCAAGCTACGGATTCAATCTTACTAAATAAGTAATGGAGGCAAGGGTAGCCCAGGCAAAATGACTACAAGGCTTCAGACTGTTTCTGCTTTATCTGGACAAGTGTGTGTGTGTGTGTGTGTGTGTGTGTGTGTGTGTGTGTGTATGTGAAAGAGAGAGAGAGAGATCTAAGTTGCAAGTTTTTTTCTTTAATAATAAATCTCAGAATGGTTTTAATCAAATTGACTTCCTCAAAGCTAAGTCTGTCAACTCAGATTGAATCATGTCCTCTGTATATTTCTAATTTCCAGCTCAAATTGAATAAGAACTGATTCTTATAGGCATAGCCATAATTATTAAAGATCCATTTAGCAATGCCTTTCCTTTTATGAATGCTTAAGATTTTTTCTTGTTTTTTTCTTTTTTCTTTTAATTTTCAGAGAGAGAACACGTTTAATAATCATCCCTTGCCTTTGTAATTCTGTTGATTGTTTAATAAATCTAACAACTCTAATTATGGTAAGATGACATATTCTACAACCTAATGTTGTATTAATCTTTGCAATTAACTGCACTATGCTTGTCATTTTAAAAAAGGAAATGGTTATAGTTAGATAGCTAATAATTTGCTGAATATAACGAAGATAAAAGTTTAACCTTAAAATTAGATACATTTTGTCCCATTTATTTTCTGAAATAAGCTGAGTGGCAGCAAAATACATAGATTGCATGGACAATTTATTTTTGACACTTAGAAATTTTAAATGTTCACAGTACCCTTTGTTTTTGTACAAATGTATAATTACACATATAGGGAATTCCTATTATGTCATATTTCTAAACTGTCAGGGAATAATATTTTCACATTGAAACCTATTCTAATCTATTTGTCCTGACCAGAGAGCCCTCAGATATATTTGAGTTCAACTCTTACTAGTTTGATATGGTGGATGCTGCATTTATTTATGTTTATACTAGAAAAGTCCATACAGTGCATTTTAACAAGACAAATCTGAATCTAGCCATAATAACTTAGATAAAAATCTGTTTTTTAATGGCAGAACTATTTTTTCTAGTAATCTAAAGTAGCAACAGAACTTTTGACCTGTTTTCAGTAAAAGCTAAATCA